TGATCTTACGGTTTGACTTCCGTTTAGGATTTGTTGTCACGAAAGGGCGTTTGTAGCTATGCGAACCTTTCTCAGCTGTCTTACCTATTCCATCTTATATCAGCGTCGGAGGTTGTGAGAGCTAGGTAATTACAGCCAAGAGGCCTTAATTAGTATGGTGTTGGACTTAATTAAGACCTGTCAACCGCGGAAGGGATACGAAGGCCATTAGAAGAGGTTAGTGGTCAACCAGCACCTATATACCGTAGGCCTAAACATTCTCCAAGATTATATAAAAAAAGAGTATTTACTTCGAGAAATAGGGTACAGAAAATATTCGTAAGAGTAGAGGGGATAAAATCCACAGGAGCCGTGATGTGGATTCGAACCTATGCGTTGGGTGTTCCAAGATGCACGCTCTAAACCACTACGCCACGACATGGTCTAAAGAATTGCAACCTGGTGATTGTGCTCAGGGGGAAGGGGGTTGCCCTCTGCAACCCCCCCCCCCTGATCTGGGGGACACCTGCCCATCTGGTGTAGGTGTCCGAGAGAGTGAAGGAAATATATAGACTACCGAGATAAGCAGAAATCTATATAGGTAGATTCAGCAACACTGGAAAAATCGAAGAGAAAACCGATAATGGAGATAAGACATAGCAGGAGCACTGCACATCAAACATTCTCAAGTCTCCACAGCCGGCTTACACATAGGTACGCCCTATAATCTACAAGATAATTACTATAATTAAATTGGACCGTCAGTATAACTTGACTTACACACACACACACACACACACACACACACACACACATGACAGAGCCCGATAGGCTCAGGAATCTGTACACCTGTTGATTGACGGTTGAGAGGCGGGACCAAAGAGCCAGAGCTCAACCCCCGCAAACACAACTAGGTGAGTACAACTAGGTGAGTACACACACACACACACACACACACACACACACACACACACACACACTCACTCACTCTCAGCACATATTTCACACATGTTATCCTCACACTTGTACTTATATCCCCTGGTATATACCATTGCAGCTTCTCTAATCTCTTGCAAGGTGCTAATGAAGAGCTATCACAAGAACCTTTAATTAATGTTTTCAAGACCCAGAAACACAGGGACAGACACACCACAAGGGATCGCTACTCCATTACTATTATTGGTAAGATGACGATGACGGAGATGAATACTGTCATTAAGTCTGACAACTTTCCACCTGTTAGGAAAATACAGTTTTGTAGTCTATTGAAGCCTTCCACTTGACAGAAAAATACAGCCATGGTCTAATTCCTTCCCCCTCGTGGAAGTCGATGTTCTCAGACTGTAAACAGCGTCGGCAGGTTTTCCCGTGTCACAAACACTCTTTATGGTAGTGTTTCCAATCCCTTAAATCTAATTTGCATACCACTTTAAATATATATATGTACAATTATAGATGCAAATCGATTTTTCCAAAGATCACTACAGGTTAAAGTCTTGATGACTAGTGTGTGTGGGGTTAAACACGAGGTTATGAGGGGTGAGGTTTTGGGCCATCATGGTGAGGAGGAGGAGGAATCCGGTCTGTGTTGAGAGGAGTGGCAGTTATTGTGAGTCTGAGTGGCGTTTCCTCTGGTTTCTTCTACTCACTCTTAGTGTCTAAGAGCTCATACTCTCCTCTCCAGTCATAGGTGTCCTCATACTCCTCATAGGTGTCCTCATACTCAATACTTTATCCTCCACACCACCTGTTATCCTCTAGATATCTGCTCCTCGTCTCCATCAGCTAGTAAACCATGTCAAAATCATCTAGTAAAAATCATCTTGTTCTTCATCTCATGTCGTCTAGTAAAGTATCTTGCTATCCTAAACGCATTCCAGGTTAACACCTATCCATTCGTGCTCCCTTATCTCTTCTCATCTCCCCCAATTATCTCTCCCTCCCCATCCTTCACTATACCTCTCCCTATCTCCCCCTTCTACCCATCCGCCCTCACACGGATCATTTTTCATCCCCATCACTTAACTAGCCAGCCTCCCCTACCCTATCCTATCTCCCCTATCACTCTAAACTCCACCAAGCCCTCCCACCACGATCTGTCCCTCCCTCAGTCTCCCTACGTCTCTCAGTCCCCGTCTCTCTCCCTCTTTCCCCAACGTTGTTCCCTTGTTCTTGCCTTCCCCTACCTCCCTATACATCGCTTCTCCCTCGCCGCCTACCCTACATCTCTTACCCCCACGCCTCTGATGCCTATCTGCTGCGGCCGTGTCGGCACCTTTCACTGGTGGCTGCATCTCACAGCATCACCACAGGCGTCTTAATTTGTTTGGGCGGCTGGTTATTACTGAGTTGCTCCACGTGGGGTGTAGTGATCCCCTGAGCGATCAATAATTGCAACACTGGTGTGTAGTGATCCCCTGAGCGATCAATAATTGCAACACTGGTGTGTAGTGATCCCCTGAGCGATCAATAATTGCAACACTGGTGTGTAGTGATCCCGTGAGCGATCAATAATTGCAACACTGGTGTGTAGTGATCCCGTGAGCGATCAATAATTGCAACACTGGTGTGTAGTGATCCCGTGAGCGATCAATAATTGCAACACTGGTGTGTAGTGATCCCTGAGCGATCAATAATTGCAACATTGATGGGATGTGATTTTTTTGTTTCCTGGAAAATATGTTTGCATTCCATTTTTGGTTTCCAAGCCGGCTAGCCGGTCGGCCGAGCGGACAGAACGCTGGACTTGTGATCCTGGGTTCGATCCCAGGCGCCGGCGAGAAACAATGGGCAGAGTTTCTTTCACCCTATGCCCCTGTTACCTAGCAGTAAAATAGGTACCTGGGTGTTAGTCAGCTGTCACGGGGTGCTTCCTGGGGGCGGAGGCCTCGGGGACACTAAAAAGCCCCAAAATCATCTCAAGATAACCTCAAGATAACCTCCTATACTCCATCTTCCATATATTGTGATTATTACCATAACTGCTGAAATTATCGTTGTAACGATTGGTACTGGGATTATTGCGATAATTTCAACGTTATTATCGTCGACTCTTCTTTCTCGCTCCCGTCAAACACACACCGAAACTACGACGTTGGTACAACGTTCAAACAAGTTTTAACAACACCTAACTAGTTATAACAACCAATATAGCAAGTTGTAACAACGTTCTAATTCGTCATAAACACGTTAAGCCAAGATGTAACAACTTTATTACAAGTTGTAACAAGCGGAAAATAGAGACAGTTTCGGTTTGTGTTTCCAGGGAAGTCATTAACCGGATATTGAATTAATTGCTGTGTGTTGGCTTCGTGTAAAACGGAAGGGTTGAATAACGCAACAAGAGGATAGAGGTCAGTATAAGTGGCGCGTACTATAGGGGTGTTAACCCGCATGTAATTATAAACAATTATAAACAGTAGTAATTATATATTAAACAGCAGCTCGGTTGCAATTGAAAAGGATGGAACTGAACGCAATCGACCGTATTCTAATGCAATGGAGAGTAATCCAAATTAATGGGATGGGATTCGATGTAATAGGGTTACAATATAGTGTAATGGGGTTGCAATATAATGAAATGGGGAATGCAATACAATATAATGGGCGACATATCCTGGTTTAGTGCCTCTACGTCTCATTTCTACATAAAGTTGAGAAGTACAAATAGTTATCAAAGTTAACTACTTGTACTAACTAATGATGTTAGCTAAGTAATTAACAAATAAAGGTAACGAAGGTAATTCAAAGTCAAGATATCTGCTAGATTATTAAAGTTACGAATAGCTCAGTGGCTTTATTGCAAGAATATTCAATATATCAAATAACCAGAGAGAGATGTGGCAGAAGCAAGAAAGGTTGCCAACATATTCCCAGTTAAAAAAACAAAAGACAACTTATCAGCTTTTGACAAACGTTCCTTTTTTTAATATAAAAAAGCTATTTGAGGCAAATATATTAAACGCACTCACATGAAAAATATAACAGAGCAAATTTTCCTTCTCTTAGAAGGACCCTATTTTTTCATTTTTTTTTAAGTTAAGTGATTGATATTGTGTTAATTAATCGTGACCAAAGTGAAGCATTTGTTATCTGTCAATTAATTAGGACAGGTGAGGTTTCCTCTAGGACGGGATAAGGACAGGTGAGTCTCCTCTATCCACCTAACCCTCACCATTTATTACCCAAACCGGTGTTTCTTCACAACCCCATTACCTAAATGGGTAATGGGTAAAATGGTCCAGGTAATGGGGTTCTCTCCTCCATCCTGTTACCTGGACAGGTGAGCCTCTTTCACCCCGTTACCTGGACAGGTGAGCCTCTTTCACCCCGTTACCTGGACAGGTGAGCCTCTTTCACCCCGTTACCTGGACAGGTGAGCCTCTTTCACCCCGTTACCTGGACAGGTGAGCCTCTTTCACCCCGTTACCTGGACAGGTGAGCCTCTTTCACTCCGTTACCTGGACAGGTGAGCCTCTTTCACCCCGTTACCTGGACAGGTGAGCCTCTTCCACCCCGTTACCTGGACAGGTGAGCCTCTTTCACCCTGTTACCTGGACAGGTGAGCCTCTTTCACTCCGTTACCTGGACAGGTGAGCCTCTTTCACCCCGTTACCTGGACAGGTGAGCCTCTTTCACTCCGTTACCTGGACAGGTGAGCCTCTTTCACCCCGTTGCCTGGACAGGTGAGCCTCTTCCACCCCGTTACCTGGACAGGTGAGCCTCTTCCACCCCGTTACCTGGACAGGTGAGCCTCTTCCACCCCGTTACATGGACAGGTGAACCTCCTTCTCCACCCCGTTACCTGGACAGGTGAGCCTCTTCCACCCCGTTACCTGGACAGGTTAGCCTCTTTCACCCCGTTACCTGGACAGGTGAGCCTCTTTCACCCCGTTACCTGGACAGGTTAGCCTCTTTCACCCCGTTACATGGACAGGTTAGCCTCTTTCACCCCGTTACCTAGACAGGTGAGCCTCTTCCACCCCGTTACATGGACAGGCGAGCCTCTTCCACCCCGTTACATGGACAGGCGAGCCTCTTCCACCCCGTTACATGGACAGGCGAGCCTTTTCCACCCCGTTACATGGACAGGCGAGCCTCTTCCACCCCGTTACATGGACAGGCGAGCCTCTTCCACCCCGTTACATGGACAGGCGAGCCTCTTCCACCCCGTTACATGGACAGGCGAGCCTCTTCCACCCCGTTACCTGGACAGGCGAGCCTCTTCCACCCCGTTACCTGGACAGGCGAGCCTCTTCCACCCCGTTACCTGGACAGGCGAGCCTCTTCCACCCCGTTACCTGGACAGGCGAGCCTCTTCCACCCCGTTACCTGGACAGGCGAGCCTCTTCCACCCCGTTACCTGGACAGGCGAGCCTCTTCCACCCCGTTACCTGGACAGGCGAGCCTCTTCCACCCCGTTACCTGGACAGGCGAGCCTCTTCCACCCCGTTACCTGGACAGGCGAGCCTCTTCCACCCCGTTACCTGGACAGGCGAGCCTCTTCCACCCCGTTACCTGGACAGGCGAGCCTCTTCCACCCCGTTACCTGGACAGGCGAGCCTCTTCCACCCCGTTACCTGGACAGGCGAGCCTCTTCCACCCCGTTACCTGGACAGGCGAGCCTCTTCCACCCCGTTACCTGGACAGGCGAGCCTCTTCCACCCCGTTACCTGGACAGGCGAGCCTCTTCCACCCCGTTACCTGGACAGGCGAGCCTCTTCCACCCCGTTACCTGGACAGGCGAGCCTCTTCCACCCCGTTACCTGGACAGGCGAGCCTCTTCCACCCCGTTACCTGGACAGGCGAGCCTCTTCCACCCCGTTACCTGGACAGGCGAGCCTCTTCCACCCCGTTACCTGGACAGGCGAGCCTCTTCCACCCCGTTTCCTGGACAGGCGAGCCTCTTCCACCCCGTTACCTGGACAGGCGAGCCTCTTCCACCCCCGTTACCTGGACAGGCGAGCCTCTTCCACCCCGTTACCTGGACAGGCGAGCCTCTTCCACCCCGTTACCTGGACAGGCGAGCCTCTTCCACCCCGTTACCTGGACAGGCGAGCCTCTTCCACCCCGTTACCTGGACAGGCGAGCCTCTTCCACCCCGTTACCTGGACAGGCGAGCCTCTTCCACCCCGTTACCTGGACAGGTGAGCCTCTTCCACCCCGTTACCTGGACAGGTGAGCCTCTTCCACCCCGTTACCTGGACAGGTGAACCTCTTCCACCCCGTTACCTGGACAGGTGAACCTCTTCCACCCCGTTACCTGGACAGGTGAACCTCTTCCACCCCGTTACCTGGA